AAAAAAAAAAAAAAAAATGTAACCAGTCATGGTTGTGTATACCTGTGGTCCTAGCTACTTGGAAGGCTGAGGTGGCAAGATTGCTTGATCCCAGGAGGTTGAGGCTGCGGTGAGTGAGCTGTGACTGCAACACTGTACTCCAGCCTAGGCGACAGTGTGAGCTCCTGTCTCAAAAAATAAAAAATGTAAAATAAGTCATTTATCGCCACCAGGGGGCACTGACAACCTCCCCCAACCTCCTCCCAAGTCTAGGACTGTGGGGCTTCTCCTTCCTGGTCTGGTAGCCCAGTGCCACCCACAGGGGATTCAGTTCAGTCCTGCTCAACTAATTGAGGCTGGATGACTTAAGCTTTTCTGAGCGGAGCAGGCTCGTATTTTTGTTAGATCTCTGAGGCACTTTTTACATTTTATTTCAGACAGGGGTCATTTTATAGACATGGAAACCCAGGCTCCTGCCCTCTGCTTTCTGCCCTTCCTGTTCTCTAGCCTCAGGGCTACACAAGGGAACCTCTCCTAGAGCCTCCCACTCTCCACTCCCAGTTGGCACCCCAGGTAGGGGGATGTGAAGAAAACCTGAAGCACCACTCCCCCCACCTGAGTGGCACAGGGCACTGTCCAGCACATAGTGGCTGGCACACAGTAGGCATCCATGAGCACGAGCTATTACTGTTCTCATTGCTGCTGATTACAACACCAGGCACCGCAGCAGTGACTCATAGTTCTATTGGACCCATCACCCATTCTACAGCCGAGGACACTAAGGCTCAGCAAAAAGGTAACCCAGTGGCTGGGTGCAGTGACTCAGGCCTGTAATCCCAGCACTGTGGGTGGCCGAGGTGGGTGGATCACCTGAGGTCAGGAGTTCAAGACCAGCCTGACCAATATGGTGAAACCCTTGTGTCTGCTAAAATTACAAAAATTAGCTGGATGTGGTGGCATGCGCCTGTAGCCCCAGCTACTCAGGAGGCTGAGAGAGGAGAATTACTTGAACCTGGGAGGCGGAGGTTGCAGTGAGCCAAGATCACGCCACTGCACTCCAGCCTGGGCGACAGAGTGCGACTCCATCTCAAAAAAAAAAAAAAAAAAAAAATTATCCGGGCATGGTGGCATGCATCTGTGGTCCCAGCTGCTCGGGAGACTGAGGCAGGAGAATCGCTTGAACCTAGGAGGCAGAGGTTGCAGTGAGCTGAGGTTGCACCACTACATTCCAGCCTGGGCGATAGAATGAGACTCTGTCTCAAAAAAAAAAAAAAAAGGTAACCCAGCCTTGGGCAGCCTCTCCCTAGTAACAATGGCCTAGTTGAGAGCCTTGGCCAGTTCGGTGTACCCACTTAATATGAGCCTGAGGGTTCTCTGAACCTCCTTCTCAGGTGGGGTGTGTGTTGTGGTACAGAATGGGGGATTTTAAGCTTAGCCGCTGAGAAGGAGGGGGAGGTGATGCTAGAACATGACCCATCTCTCCCAACTTCCCCGAAACACACAGTATCTTCCAAGCCCCTCACCCCCACCCCATCTCCCCTCCATCTCCCAACCTCAGCTACCTGGGGAAGGACTCCGACAAAACTGGGAAGTTCCCTGCCCCAGTCCCATCCCATCCAGGTGCTGAGATGCTTCCTAGCGTTAACCCTTAAGCTCCCAGTTTGGGAGCCGGATGGGGACAGGGTGGGGCCAGATAAATGAAGACAAAGTGAGAAATCCAGATTTCAACCCCTGCACGTGTGAGAGTGTAACCACCCCCGAGCCAGAACTATGCTTTCCTGCCCTCTGGCATCCACTCCAGGCAGCCCCCGTCTCTCCCCACTAGTCTCTCCCCACTAGGGTGACGCAGTGCCTCAATCACAGATGAGTGTATTTCTCTGCCTGGCCTGGGAGTAGGAGCTGTGACTAGTTCAATGAGTGTTCATCCAGCACTTGAAGTTACTTCAATGTCTATTAGCAGAAATTAGGAAATGGCAATGATTCTGGCCATCTCAAAGGAAAGCACATAACAACGTCTAGGGCAGAAAAGGTCTGTGATAAATGATCAGAAAAATGGTGTTGTGAGGCTGGATGCGGTGGCTCATGCCTATAATCCCAGCATTTTGGGTGACCGAGGCAGAAGGATCGCTTGAACCCGGGAGGTCAAAGCTGCAGCGAGACATGTTCGCGCCACTGCACACCAGCCTGGATAAAAGGGGAAGACCCTGTCTCAAAAAAAAAAAAAAAAAAAAGAAAAGAAAAAAAAAGTGAGGGGGAGGGGAGAGAAAATGGGATTGTGTTTCACTGGTTCTTAGTAGCATGCACAAAATAACAAGAAAACCAATCACTGCTCATCCACTATCCTGCAGGAGAAGCGGGCAGGTACTGAACGTCCAGCGATTAGGCTCATTTCATCCCGGTCCAGCCCATGCACTAAATAATCATTTCTCCCTTTGCGAAGTGCAAAGTTGCACTTGGTGACGTGCTCAGGGTCACACCAGATGGAGCCAAGATTTGCTTTAGGCTGAGAACGTAGGTCTAGAACACAGTGTCAAAGCTCTGAAACAGAAAAGGAACTGATCTCCACCTGCTCTGTGCCATTTTCCTAGCCTTAACCGAAATATCACAGCATGAAACAGAAAAAAAATAAGAGGATTCCAAATTTCAGCCCTCAGGCCGAGCCACACAGGGAGGCCGGAATCTCCAGGTGAGGTCTCTCCAAAAGGTTTCAAAGAGGTGGAATTCGAGACAAGTTGGCTTCAGAGAATTTCTCCCTCCCCCCAGATCTCCAGGACAAAAGCTCTGTTAATATGCACCTCTGTTGGGGGTGGGCTGGGTAGGGAAGCATGAGGAGGCTCTACAGCCACCATCCAACATTTGACCAGCTTAATTTGGAGCCCAGGGTGGAGGTGCTGCCACGAGACCCATCCAGGTCATGTGAGAGCCCAGAGTTGGGGAAGGGGGCAAAGGGGGGGTCCGCGGCCGGGAACACCCCCTTTCTCCCTGGACACAGTTGGCAGCTGCCTGATTTGTTGTTTGTTGGTGGGCTTCCCTCTGCGTGCTGGGCTGAGTGGACAAGGCCCATCAGTCCACCTGGGAGCATGTGAAGCCAGCCTTCTTCAATGTCACAGGAAGTTCTGCGATCTCCCTCCTCCCCAACGCCCCCATCGCAACAGGTCCACCAAGCTGGCTGACACAAGGCTCCCCAGCAGACCCTCTACATCCTCCCAGGCTCTTCCAGCCCCCACCCCAGCACCAAGGCCTGGAGCCTCCCCTGCTCTCTCCAAGCTGCTGTGAACTCCTAGCACCCGTTCTGGCAGCCTGCACCCCGGCCTCCCTCCAACTCACCACTCCGAGTCCCCACTACACAGGCAGAGATGCTAGAGGGGTTCTCTGAGGACTCCAGGGCCAAAGCCAGCCTCCGCCAGCCTAGGGAAGGGCTCTGGAAAAATGGAACAGGAAGTTCCTTGCCCCAGTCCCATCCCATCCAGGTGATGAGGGGCTTCCTAGAGTTAACCCTTAAGCTCCCAGTTTGGGAGCGGGATGGGAAGAGGGCGGGGCCAGGGACATGAAGACAAAGTGAGAAATCCAGATTTCAATCCCAGCATGTGTGAGTGTAACCATCCCCCAAGCCAGAACTACCACCTCCCAAATGAAGACTGGCCTGGTGCCCCTTGCAGGTCTGCCCATCTTTCTTTTGGGCTAAGAGCTGCCATTTTTAAATGCCCACAGTGTGCTGGTTTCTTTGCTAGGCTTTTCATTCACGTGACTACTCTTTGCAATGGCCTCCTGTGTGCCAGGCACTGTTACAAAGCAGGGGCTAAGGACCCAGAGAGAAACTGGAGGAATAAGGCCCTGCTCTCAGGGTCTTACATTTTAGGGCAAAGGAGCAGCGACGGTGCTAGGAAAAAATGGAACAGGAGGATGTGATGGGGCAGAGGCTGCTCCATCTACGCGGTCACCTAAAGTCCTCCAAGTCCTGCCAGGTGGTTTTGTCCCAACTTTACCGATGACGAAGCAAGGGCTCCCCAGGAGGGAAGTGACCTCACCAACAGCGTTTGGGCCCAAACCAATTCCTTCCCTGTGCTTAAAGTGCCTTCTTGGGTTGTGCCCTTGGCTGCAGCTCGTGCCTTACTGAGCGTTCAGAGCCCCCGGGGAGTCAGGACCACCTCTTAGGTGTTGGCCGTTTCCCCGGCCTAGACCCCTCGGTCCGTTGGGGCCTGGACCCGCCTGACTGGCTCATCTGCCGGGTCTTTGTTTTCCTGCCCTTAACATCTGAGCTCATCCTGTTCTTATTTCAGTTGTCTAATGCTCCCTGCGCACGACGGTCTTTCTCCTTGGTCTGCTCTGCATTCCCCGCGTCCAGCGCCTCGCGCTTCCAGTCGCGGGCTCCTCTCACACCATAATTTGTCCAGTGGCAGGGCCAGAAAAACCCGCCCCCAGGGAAGTGGGCCCGAAGGCCAAGGGGCGGGGCGGGGTTCTGTAGGGCAGGAGGGGGCGTGTCCGGGGCGGGGTGGGGTGCTGTAGCGCCGGAGCGGGTGTGGCCTTGGCGGGACCAGGCAACCACTAGAGGCTGGGAAGCGAGAGGCGTGGAGACTGTCTCATCACACCCGGTTAATTTTTTTTTTTTTTTTTTTTATTTTTTGTAGAGATGGGGTTTCACCATGTTGGCCAGGCTAGTCTTTAACTCCTGACCTCAGGTGATCCACCTGCCTTGGCCTCCCAAAGTGCTGGGATTACAGGCATGAGTCACTGCACTCAGCCTCTTTGATCAACTGAGGTCAGGAGTTCAAGACTCGCCTGGACAACATGGTGAAACCCCATCTCTACTAAAAATTTTTGTTTCTTTTAAAATTGTAATTCTCCCAGTTCCACTTATTTTATTTTATTTTATTTTGTTAGAGACAAGGTCTTGCTATATCTCCCAGGCTGGACTCAAACTCCTGAGTTCAAGTGATCCTCCCACTTTGGTCTACCAAGGAGCTGGGACTACAGCTGGGACTCCATGCCATCGAGCGTTCTTTCCCTCTCATTGCTGAATGATTTTCCTCATTACATCAGTTATTCATTCTACTATGGGTAGACAGTGGGCAGTTTTCAGTTTGGGGCTATCTGTAGTTGTTCTCATATGTCTCTGGTGACCATATATGGGACAGCAGTCTGAAATAGGTGAAGAGCAAAGTGGGAGGTTTTATCTTTGGGAGGTAAGGACTGCACGTGTGTACTCCGAGTTCTGAGGCCACCGAGGGAGCCTCAGGGACTGGCCTCCGGGCAGAGCTGCTCTCACTGCCCTGGGCACTGGGGACAAGACCAGGACAAGCAGGACCCTGTGCATGTTTCCTCGAATGGCTTATGGTCGCTTCAGAAAGATGCTGGGTGTCTGTTGACGTTCGGGCTGCCAGTGACATCTAATCTGGTCATCTGCCAGGGTGTGCAGGGGGAGTGGTGCTTTTCAGGTGTAGGAACAGCTCTGGAAATAAACGAGGGATGTAAAAGGAGACAGACTGAGCTTCTAGCCCTAGGCCCTCCACAGCCCTGCTGCATGTGTCCTTGGCGAACTCACTTTTCATTTGAAAACCATCACTGCCTCCTCTGTAATGCATGAACGATAATCCTACCTGCCAGATGAATTGCAGGAGAGGGTTGCAGAAGAGAAGGTTTGCAAAAGCACTGAGACCTTAAAGATAATAAACATGTATGAATCCGTACCTGAAACTAGGGGGCGCTAAAGAGAGTGTGGTCCCTACAGGGTTGGGGCGGAGTGTGCGGAGTGGGAGGGGGAACCTTTGGAGTAGTGTCCTCCAAGAGAAGTGTGGTGCCACCCACAGCCGCAATTTTAAATTTTCTGGTAGCCACAATTAAAGAGGTAAAAGGAAACAGGTGCGATTAATTTTTTTTTTTTTTTTTTTGAGACGGATTTTCGCTCTTGTTGCCCAGGCTGGAGTGCCATGGCCCGATCTCGGCTCACCACAACCTCCACCTCCTGGGTTCAAACAATTCTCCTGCCTCGGCCTCCTGAGTAGCTGGGATTACAGGCATGCACCACCACACCTGACTAATTTTGTATTTTTAGTAGAGACAGGGATTTCTCCATATTGGTCAAGCTGGTCGCGAACTCCCAACCTCAGTTGATCCGCCTGCCCCGGCCTACCAAAGTGCCGGGATTACAGGCCTGAGCCACTGCGCCCGGCCAGCAATTAATTTTAATAATACGATTTAGTTAACTCGTTATATCCAAAATGTTATTATTTCAACAAACACAGAAAATTGTTAATGACTTGCTGCACATTCTTTTTTCTCATAAAAGTCTTCAAAATCCAGTGTGCATTTTACAGTGAGAGCACATCTGAGCTCCGCCTCGCCCCATTTAAAGCACTCAATAGCCATCTGTGGCTTTGGGGCGGTTCTGGGACCTCAGAGTTGTGGTGTTTCCTGCGGGGAAAGACTATTGTGGCTGCTGGAGGGCGGAGGAAGAATAACAATAGGCGAAGTGCAGGGCACTGGGGTCTCTTAAGAAAACACAGCTGCTTGCTGAAATAATTAGGAGTCCAAAACCTCTGCAAGGAAGAAGGGGAGACGGGAAATGAGGAAGGAGCCCCGGGGGACACCGGGGAAGGGAGAAAATGAGCCGAGGCAGCTTGATTTGCAGCAAATGTATTATTTTAAAGGCCCAGCAAGGTCGGGCACGGTGGCTCACTCTTGTAATCCCAGCACTTTGAGAGGCCAAGGCAGGTGGATGACCTGAGGCCAGGAGTTCAAGACCAGCCTGGCCAACATGGTGAAACCCCTGTCTCTACTAAAAATACAAAAATTAGCTGGGCATGGTGGCGGGCGCCTGTAGTCACAGCTGCTCGGGAGGCTGAGGCAGGAGAATTGCTTGAACCTAGGAGGCGGAGATAGTAGTGAGCTGAGATGGCACCACTGCACTCCAGCCTGGTGACAGAACGAGACTCTGTCTCAAAAAAAAAAAGACCTGCCCAGAAGGTAGGCCACTCCCAGTCAGTAGAATTTTTGTTGATTTGGGATTTGGGAGGGTGAGCACTTAGAACCACAGTCCAGGCCAGTGCAGTGGCTCACACCTCTAATCTCAGCACTTTGGGAGGCTGAGGTGGAAAGATCACTTGAGCCTAGGAGTTTGAGACCAGCCTGGGCAACACAGTGAGATCTCTACAAATATTTTAAAATTAGCTGGACATGGTAGTGCATGCCTGTAGTCCCAGCTACTTAGGAGGCTGAGGCAGGACGATCACTTGAGCACAGGTGGTTGAGGCTACAGTGAGCCATGATCACACCACTGCACTCCAGTCTGGATGACAGAGCCAGACCCTGTCTCAAACACACACACACACACACACACACACACACACAGAGAGAGAGAGAGAGAGAGAGAACCATGTCCCAGCTGCAAAGACTGCACAGCGCTGGGAAAATATTTTGGTCCCTATACAGGCCACAAAAAAAGAGAGAGAGAGTGTTGAACCTACCTCCACGGTTTGTCCTGGGGGTGGTCCCAGCATGGCTTGTTCAGGACCATCTTGGCCCTGCTCTGAAACCCCGATAAGGAGTGAGGCCCTTCTAACTGGTTAAGCACCTTAGTTTTCTTACTGCAAGGTAGTGCCAAAGCATATGATTCTGAATAACTCCCAGCATAAGCTGGGTGCAATGGCTCACATCTGTAGTCCCAGTTCCGTGAGAGGCTGAGCCATTGGCTCACTTGAGCCCAGAAGTCGGAGTCCAGACTGAGCAAATATCAAGACTCTGTTTCTAAGAAGAAAAAACAAACACACACACAACATAAAATATTTGCAAGTCAGTTCCTTCTCAAAGGACCTTGAACTTTCTGCTTTGTGATTCTCTCTGAAAGCTCTATTGCCAGTAGCAATCTTCAAGGTGACTGCTTAAAGAGTGGCAGTACATCCCTCTCTAGTATTTACATATTATTGATTCCAGCAAGACCTGCAGACAGTTCCCTGTTTGGGGCACTCCCCTTTGCAAGTGCAGAATTGTGTACTGCAGGGAAAGCCAGGGCACTGGGCACCCCCAAGACATAACAGTTTCCACAGAGCCAACTGCTTGTAGGATGCTCATTTGGGCAATTCTGTTATTACTTAGAAATATATTATTAAGAAGGAAGTAGGTCTGGGTATAGTGGCCCACACCTGTAATCCCAGCACTTTGAGAGGCGGGAAAATCGCTTGAGCCCAGGAGTTTGAGATCAACCTGAGCAACATAGTGAGACCTCGTCACTACAAAAATTTTTGAAAAATTAGCTGGGTGTCTGGGCACGGTGGCTCACGCCTGTAATCCCAGTACTTTGGGAGCCTAAGGCGGGTGGATCACCTAAGGTCAGGAGTTTGAGACCAGCCTGGCCAACCTGGTGAAACCCCATCTCTACTAAAAACACAAAAATTAGCTGGGCATGCTGGTGGGTACCTATAATCCCAGCTACTTGGGGGACTGAGGCAGTAAAATCACTT